GCCATTTAAAACTTAATGTATGTATATTGGCTTTGCTTCAATGGCATTTGGTTATTGTATAAATGAGATACACTTGTATACTGCATAGTAAGTCCACTTGCAGTCATTAACACTGCTCTTTAGGGCAGGCCAGATAACTCAGCAGACTAAAGCGTTTGCTTAAGCAGAGTGCCACATCCCAAGTTTGATCCCCGGCGGGCCGTACTGGCCCTGCTCCTGGGCCTGCTGAGATGGAGATTGAGACTGGGCATGCTGGTGTGCACCTCTAATCTCAGCTCCTGTGAGGCTCAACACAGGCAGATCACTAGGAGTCTGTCTACGTAGTGAGACCCAGTAGGCCCTGTAGTAATATAATAAATGCATAAATAAATAAGTAAATAAAACAATAAAAAGATTGGCTTACCGTGGTCAGCCACAGAGTTGGATGGGGTAGCGTGCAGTGGGCGTCTGCACACTGGAGATTGAAGGACTCAGTCCAAGGTCTGGAGCTCACTGCAGTGCTCCGTGCAAGTCCGTATCAGGAGGCCAGTACGTCCAGGATGGAAGGCTGAAGGATCCAAGGCAGAAGCCAAAGAGTCTGCTCTGGATGCCAGAAGATGACATCCAAGTTGACAGAATAGACAGGATCTCCTCGGAAGGAAATGGAATGCTTCCTCCTTCCTCAATTCCCTTTTACATGCTTTAAGGGATGCGCCACCCTAGGGCGGGGCCTCTACACCTTAGGGTGGGAGTTGCTGAGCCAACTGAGTTAAGCTTGTAAACTTCCCAAGTTGTCACAGATAATCTACCACTTCAGTTTCTGGAACACTGTAGGATCTCATTGAATATTAGTTTAATGGATGAATAAAACCTGAAAGCATTTTTTTATTGTTGCTTAAATTGGACATTTATCTTCAAATTCTTTGGAATAATTTGTATTCTTGATACTATACTACTCATTATTAAATTTAAACACTAATTTTTCCCATTGTCTTAGGACTCATAATTGGAAAACGCTGGTTGTTTTTTTCTCTTTTTTTTTGCAGTATTGGGATTGAACTCAGGACCTTGCACTTGCCAGGCAAGTGTTTATTCTACTGAGCTATCTCTCATGCCTGGTTTTTTATTTTATTGAGGCAGGGTCTCACTATGCATTCCAGGTTGAACTTGAACCCACTATGTAGCTCAGGCTGGCCTGGAACAGTTGGAGGTCCTCTTGCTTGAGTCTGCTGAGTGCTAGGATTACAGGCATGCACTAGCATGCCTAGCCAAGCCACCAGCTCCAATAACACTGAATGAATATTCTGAAGGAAGTAGAGAAAGTGGGAGCATGTACAGTTAGCAATGTTCATTTATTACAAAGCAGCAAAACTTCCGTTAGAAGAAAGTGACTCCCAACCTGTTAGAGGTATGGAGTTCCTGTTTCAGGATACTGAATAGCAGAGTCCCTAACAAAGGAAGGGAAGAGTAGGAAGTGTTTTATGAAGAAAAAGTCCTTGAGAGAGAGGAGTAGTCCTGAAAGTGGGTTGTCACTGAGGCTGTTTTGGGGGGTTGGGAGAGGTTATACAATTAAATCACACCACAGATGACCACAGCTCAAACTAGGGTCAACTGAGCTGGGTGTGCTGGCTCACAACTATATTGCCAGCTCTCGGGAGGCTGACACAGGAGGATCTTTAAGAGATTGAGACCATCCTGGACTACAAAGTGAGTGCAAGTCCAGCTTGGACTGCATATGGAGACCCTGTCTCAAAAAGACAAAAAACAAAAAAAACCTCCACAAAACCCTACAGTCAACCTACAGGTTTACAAGTATAATGACTTACCTACTATTGCCTTAATAGAAAAAATAGGTATGTAGCAAGAATAGCATAGAAAAGCAGAAAGGCATTTCTGGAACAGGTAGAAGGGCGGCTCAGAGTGTTCTAGTGGACTATCTGTGCGTTCATTACATTGTTCCCACGTGTATGTTGTATTGTTCAGACTTATTGGACCAAAAGGGGCCAGTTACAGAACAGCTCTGAGCTGTGATTTACCTCTGGAAAGGCTTGCAGTCCTAGCCATCCTGTCTCCATCTTATGGCCCAGTTTCTGTCAACTCGGCTCCTGACTGCTGGCCTGGTTTGCCTTATCTCTGTTCTGACTCTATCTTGGGCTTGGTCTCTTTCCAACTGCCTGTCAGTCCCTACTTCACCATCTAGAATACTTTCTTTGCTGGAAAAACTTCTATTAAATGTTGAAAAAGAATAAGAGCTACATGATAGGGGATTGCTGACCAACAGTGGATAAAGAAAAGTACTGTATACTTAGGAAAAAGCCCATAAATTCCGTCTGGTGACCTATTTACATATATCTCGAGTTTTGGACACTAGCTTCTCTGGTTGTTCCAGAAGCCTGAAGTGAAAGGGGCAAGCTGATCAAAAGCTCACCTTTCCACGTAGCAAATTAAGCGTGCAGATCTGTAGCAGGGACTTAAAGTCTGGGCCTGCATATATCCTTGTGTGGCTAAAGGCAGAATCAAAGTGAAACATGCCTGCCTTCATCTACTTTTGTTTGCTTTGTTTTTATATTTTTTGACATAGTCTTGGTACATAGTCCAGGCTGACCCTGAACTCAGTAAATAGCCCGGGCTGTCCTTGCCTCAACCTCCCTAGTGCTAGACTTACTGTTATAGGCCACCAATTCTGGCTCAACCTTCAGTTTCTGTATCTGTCTCTTTTTTATGCATGAGGTCTTTCTGCAATTTGAGTGTCATCCTTGCACAGGGGTCCTGCTAATCTTCTCTGTATGGTTCTAGCTTTAGTGTATGTGCTGCAGAAGTGAGCACTGTGTCTGTCTCATGTATTACCTTTAAACTGTGGATCAGATCCCTGCTCACTTCTCTGGATCGGCATGTTAATAATATAAGGAATGTATTTAATACAAGTGTTTTTCTCTTTCATTTATGTGTTTGGTACAGGGTCTCACTGTGCATCTCAGACTCATAGTGATCCTCCTATTTTCAGCCTCCCCAGTGCTTAGATTACAGGTATGCCCCATCATCCCTAGACTACTTTAGTGGCTCAGCTCACCACAGGGGCATGGTCGGCATGGCCTGTGGTATTAGTATAATGCAAAGTTTTGTGGATCTAAATTTAACTAGCCTGCCTCATCTCCTTCAAGGTTGAGGAAACTAAGGTAAGAGTAACTGATTTTCCAGATTTACAGGAACACCTAACTGCTAGCTCTTGGCTGTCCACTTCTAGAGCCCCAGAAATGATGACTTGAAATCTCCATGGTCTAAAACCTGCAGTCACCTCAGTTTCCTGAAAAGCAGAACTTACAGACTGCCCCACAGAAACCAACGATGCTCCCCTAAATGGGATCTTGGATCTCATGATGGGAAGGGACCTCCCCTTCTTAAGTGGCTCTCCCACAACTTCACAAGCCACATCCTGAGACACAAGTCAGCTAGGCTCCAATTAGACCAGGAGGCAGTGAACTGCAGCTCTGAAAATCCCAGCCCTCACCTTTGTTCCCAGGTTCAATAAACACCAAATTTCTTTCTTTTTTACAAATTTATTTGACACAGGATCTCCCTATGCAGTTCAGACTCTGTTTACTCTCCTTAGCCCTGGGATTACAGGTGCACACCACAACGTCTGTTTTCAGGCCTGCTGGCACTCCTAGGTTTCCCAGGCAGTCATGGCATGCAGTACTGGGGATCCAACTTGGGTCCTTGCACTTGTCAGGCAGGTGCTTCGATCCATGAGTTATCTCCTCAGTCTAACCCCAAAATTTTGCCAGTCCCTTGAACACAGACCTGGAAACACTGCTTCGCAGCATAGTCACACCACATAAATTTCCTTCTTAATTTTCACCACTGCTCTTCTCTTCAGTTGGCTTTCAGGGACCTATGGTTAAGCCTGGTGTGTTGAGATTTCTGAGCAGGGGCTTTTGCCTTAAACTCCAGTAACAATACCTTTTTCCTTATTGACCTCTGAACTCCAGTTTGAACGGCTGAGTGTCTCTTTTACAGAGATTTTCATTCCATAAAAGTGACCATAGTTGAGTGTGGTGGTCTGTGTCTATAATCCCAGCACTCAGGAGGTGAGGCAGGAGGATCACCATTAGTTTAAGGCCAGCCCATGCCTCATAGTGAGCTCAACTACGTGTTAAACTACATGGCAAGACTTTGTCTTAATCTCAGTCCCACAGCAACCACCAAAACAGGTAACAATAGAAAATATTTCAAGTTGGAGTTGTTCCAGAGAATCCAGACCAGTCAATCATCTGGGCCTATTATTTCTCTCTATCCCTGTTCATCAGTTTATGTTTTCAGGGTATTATGTTGTTCTTAACCCTGTTAGTTCATGGTGCTCGATTCCCTTAGAACTGAGTTAGCCCTGTTCACTATGTGAGAGGGGCAACTCATTCCTGCAGATGTGGGGCCTGGGAGATGGCTCAGTAAAATAAGCACTTCCCTGGCAAGCATAAGGGCCTGAGTTCAATCCCCAGTTATGCAAAAACAAAACAAAACGAAACACAAAAAAACAACAATAAACAAACAAAAAACCAGAAACAAAAAACAAAAAACACCTGCAGATGCACAGAGTTATGGTTTGTGTTGACGTCATCCACCAAGGCCTCATACATACTTATTTATTTATTTGTGGTACCAAGGATCAAACTCAGGGATTTACACTTTCCAGGCAGGTGCTTACTTCACTAAGCTATCCCCTGGCCCAGATGGGGATTATTGTAAGGCTGGTAGGATTAAGGGTGGGGATTAGTCTACTGATTGGATTGGTATTGCCTAATCCCAGGGGATTGGATACAATATAAAGGACAGAAAGAGCCTTGTTTGAAAAAGATGTGGTACTTTTATATAATGGAGTACTAGTCAGCTGTAAAGAATGATAAACTTGAAGCCTTCATATTTAAGTGGATGTCCCTTGAAGATATACTTATTAATGAAATAAACCAGACCCACA